TCCACGGTCGGTTGGTCCGCAGTCGGATAAGCAGGTCGGTTGGTCCTCGGTCGGATAGGCAGGTTGGAAGGTCCGCGGTTGGATAGGCAGGTCGGAAGGTCTGCAGTCGGATGGGATAGTTTGCAGTCGGTTGGTCCGCCATCGGTTGAGTCGGTCAATACGGAGTTTGGACCAAGAAAAAGTCGGTTAATCAGTCGCCTATTTAAGTGAACAGTAGTTCAGTCGCTTGGTTGGGGCGACCATTGAATTGTTTGGAGAGATCAGATGCAGGTCGCTTGATGGGGCGACTAATAAATCGTTTGGTCTAGCGACCAGTTAGTCTCTAGAAAGGTTGGTCGGGCCAATTGAGTTCTGGAACTGGTGGCAGCGTTTGGCGAGACCGTTAAAGACACGTGTCAATAAAGGAGGAATTAGTGGGCGGTTGCTGTAACCAAACCAGGCGACGGTTTTGAAACGTTTTCTTGAAGGAATATTTAAGGATGCGGATTTTTTATCTTCAATCATCTTCAATCGACATCAAATTCAAGAGAATTGCTTTGGGGATCACCACTTTATTTTCCAGTTTGTAGTTTTATTTTCTAGTTTATTTTTGTACCGTACAGTGTTTAGAGATTCCTAATCTCAGGCACTAAATATATCAAATTCGAAGATAATTTCTTATTTTCGGATTTTACTTTTTTATTGTTGAAAAAATACATCTACACATATATTTAACACGATATTTTATATTTGTTTGTTTATTTAGAGTTTTATTTTTTATTTTAATTTGAATAATAGTCCACGTATGAACTTGTTTTGTTAGTATAAGCAGCTATAAATTTGCCATGACTTTTTACTATTGTATTTTATTAAAAAAATTTGCATTTTTTATAAAAATTATCGTAGAAATTACATATTAAAATAACTAAAAAAAATTAATTAATAACAATATTATATGTATGAATAAAATTTTTATTTCATAAGATTTGCTTGACTGTATTTTAAAATGGTTTATATAACAGTATTTTATATATTTATAATAATACTTGTTAGAAATCATTTCTCAGCATATACTTCTTCTTCGGTCTTGGATAATTATGTCATTTTTTTGTTTATTTTGTTAAATTTATACATAATTTATATATAGTAATAATATTATCTAAATACAATTTTATTATTTTATTTTAACAAATAATAATCATTTTATCACTATTTTTTTTATTTATCCTACTCTTTTATTAATATTAATTATGTAATAAATTTCCTATATTATTCTATTTTATTTTTGTTACCGATATTAAATTTACATTAAAATATTATTATTTTTTATTTTAAAATAAAGGAGTATATATATATATTTATTTAAAATGCAATAATGTTAATAGAGTGATGTTTGAGTGGATGGATACCAAACAATTGCTAGCTCAACCAAACCAATCTGATTAATCAATTCTTCAAGGACCACAATTAAGAATTTTAATATTTCTAACTAAGAAACTAGAATTATATTGGATTTATTTACTTTGTATTTTTTAGTGTATGTATTTTTTATGTTATGTATTGTCAATATAAAAATAATATTTTATATTGAATTGTTATTATTTTTTTGTGAATGAATAAAAAATATGTGTACGTGTTAATATGTGTATATATTGAATTTTTATAATATTTATAGAAAATAGTATCTTAAAAAAAAATAGGTGAACAAATCCAATTATTTTCATCTCAATTTTTTTGTTACTATTTATAATTTAATATAATTTCTTTAACATTTTAATTATTTGTTATCGAGTGTTGTATTTACTTTCGATTAATACGCACATCTCTTGACACACAAAATTTTCAAAAAAAAAAAAAAGATATATTTCTTTTCATCAAAATATAAACTTATTTGCTTTTGATATGAATTTTAGTGTAAAATATAATTTTTCGTACTTTTTACCTTTTATAATTAAAAATAAAAATAAAAGAAATAGTATGAAATTAGAAAAATGCTACTCCCTCCATTCTAATTAAGATAATATTTTTTATTTGAACACGAGAATTTAGGTAGTATATATTAATTATTTAGATAATGAATATTAGTTATTTAATTATTGTATATAACAGAAGTATATTATATATGATTAAAAGAAAATTAAAAGATGTGTTTAAATAGTTTTAACATTATATCTCAATAAAATATACTTAATATGAATGTGATTTTTTTAGAGATTATAATTATATATATACAAATAAATAAAAATATATTTATTTATTTATCATTACATTAAATTAGTTTTATAAAAAAATTGAGAGTTTTAAAGGTTAATAAAAATATTTGTTAATTGAGGAGAAATATATAAATAAATAAATTTTGAGTAAATCTTATATAAAAGATGTTATAAATTTAATTAAATCAATTTATATTTTAACAGAAAAATTGGTTATCCGTGGACAAAAAGAAGGGAGTGTGATTTTCTATTAAATAAAAAAGAAACGAGTACATTTTTTATAACAGACAGAAAAATATTATTTTATGATAGATACTATTATTATTATTTTTTTTACAAAATATTTTAAAATAAATATTTCAATAATGCTTTAATAGTTCTGAAGTTGATACATAAGAAATTTATAAAATACTGAAATGATGCAATAATACATTTAAGGAAAATAAAAAAAAATTATAAAAAAATTACAAGAACGAACCCCTAAATTGTAGACTATGATAGTGCTTGCTGGAAACGAATGTGCATGATTCGTGATGATGCTCAAAGCAAAATCTATTGGGTTTTAGGGGAGGGATCGTGCTCATTTTGGCATGGTCACTAGTTTGGTGATAGATCATTTCCGGCCATGATCGGTGGTCATCATCCTCCATCATATCAGATTCAGATATATTTTCGCCATAGTTGTGCAACTGTGATGTAATTTTTAACATGAAAGAATTATATTCTTGGACTGTTGTAAAGTCCTGAAGACGTAGTCTTTGTCATTCGCTTCGTGCCCTTGGCAACAATGTCAGCCTCAAGTGATCGTATTTTTCTTTCATTCTCTCCCACAATTCAAGTGGGGATTCCAGCGTGACATACTCATTCCCAACATGGAAGTACTGAAAAAACTCATATTTTTCAATGCCTCATCGATGTGATTGCACAAAAAGATCATGGTCTTTGCACGATCTTGGCTCGGGGAATTTTTATCCCTGGCAATGGTATTTTCCAAGTTCATTGATGCTAAATGCATTTTCATGTCACGAACCCATGCCATATAATCTTGGCTAGAAATGAGGAAAGGAAGAAATTCTTATTTGGCAATGTTAGTCATAATAAACAGATAATATATACAATATTACATTGTGAAAATTAAAATACACAATCATGCTGATAACGTATTGTAATATTATTATTGGATTAGCCAATAAAAATATTAATTATTTCTACCGCATAACACTATTTTATGTATGGTATATAATATATAATACATAATATATATATGTATATTCGCGAGTGGGGCATGGTATATATAATAGACATATTATATATAGTATATTGTATGTGCGTGTGTATCTATGTTGTGTGTATGTAATAATATATATATATTAAATATTAAAATGCATGAATGTAAGTACAATAATGAAAGCAAGCTGCACTGCAGAAGAGACATAATAGATAGGATTTTATTGATTATCTCATTTCCTAGATTTTATTGATTATCTCATTTCCTAGTATTTATAGGCAAACATATATACATTGATGGCTGCAAACGAAACACATAAGATCGACGATACATCGATGTTAAGGACACAAATAAACTATGTGTACAATAAAAGGAACATACTTACTCCTAGTTTGCTTGGAACATAATTTTTAATTTTAACTTTTTTTATTATACAAATTTCATAGTATATTATTTAATATTATTATTTTTTTTATCTGGAATTCGAGTATGATATTTTTGAATGGTTTAAAAAAATCAGTTGAAAAATGAGTATGAGTTTTCTTAAGGTATTCTAGAAAGCCTTAAAAAAAACAGATGATTTTGTATCTAACAAACAAATTAATGGAATTAAGCCTAAATTAGAAAGTAAAAAATATGGATAAAATACATAAACAAATAAGTGTTGTACACATATTCATTATGTGTACAATATGTGGATAAATTTACACAAAGACGACGTAGCAAATATGTGTTGAAGTGGTGTCATTATTAGAATCACAATCCCATTGTATGACTTCCGTATAAATATGACATTGCGGATGAAATTATGCAGACTTACATTCAATCAAGTTTTCATTTGGATTAATTACACTTTCTGTTGCACACATACAATCAATATCATACATACATACATACATATATTAACACTCCTACATACATATATATATATATCATTATATACACATGACACACACTTATATCTATATACACAATATATATAATATAATACAATATACAAAATAGTGGTTGGCGGTAAAAATAATTAATATTTTTATTGGCTAATCCTATAATAATATCACAACACAATATCAGCACGATTATATATTTTAATTTCCGCAAGGTAATATTTTATATGTTGTTTGTTTATTATGTCTAACTTTGCCAAACAAGAATTTCTCCATTTTTTCGTTTCTGGCCAAAATTATATGGCATGAGCTCGCGATGTTAAAATGCATTTGGCATCAATGGGTTTGGAAAATACTATTGCCCGGGATAAAAATTCCCTGAGCCAAGATCGTGCAAAGGCCATGATCTTTTTGTGCCATCACATCGATGTGACACTATAAATGCAATATGTGACGTTGGAATCCCCACTTGAATTGTGGGAGAGATTGAAAGAAAAATACGATCATATGAGGCTGACTATGTTGCCAAGGGCATAAAACGAATGGTAAAGCGTACGGATTTAGGACTTTAAAATAGACCAAGACTATAATTCTTTCATGTTTAAAATAACATCACAGCTGCGCCACTGTGGCGAAAATATATCTGAATCTGATATGATGGATAAAATTTTCTCCACTTTTCATGCCTCTAACATGGTTTTGCAGCAGCAGTATCGCGAAAGAGGCTTTAAGAAATATTCAGAGCTGATCACCTGTCTTTTGCTGGCTGAACAAAATAATGAATTACTGTTGAAAAATCACGAATCTCGGCCGACATGTGCAAATCCATTTCCAGAGGCAAATGCAATACAACCGGAAAATCTGGTGCGTGGTCGTGGGCAAGTCAGATATCAACAAATTGATCGCAATCGAAATCAGAATCGCGGCCGGGGCCGGACAAACGCATACGGTCACAATAATTATCAAAACAGGTCCCGACATGTGCCAAATCAGCATTATAATGATAGAAGGCCGTACAGACCTCAACAGAGGTTCAACACTGGGAGAAAGATAAACAATGGCAAAGAGTGCACCCGGTGTGGAATCAAAGGCCATTGGGCCTATGTTTGTCGCACAACCATTCACTTGGTTGAACTGTATCGGGCCTCAAAAGAAAGACGGGGAAGAATTGCCCCCGAAACAAATCACGCTGCCCACGATGACACATTTGACGATATGATGAATGAAAATATCACACACCTGGCTGCCGATTATCTGCTCGACATAGCTGATGATGTTAAATGATGAAATATTGTATTTCCTTTGTTATTTCGATATTTTATGCCCCCCTTTTTGTATTACCCCTATAATATAAGTTTATTTTGATTATGTTACTAATACATGTCTTTTATTATTTCTACTTTTTTCCAAAGATATGGATGCCAAATATTTTGGAGCCGATGACAGTATATGTCTTATTGACAGTGCTATGACTCAATACTCTGAAAAACAAAAGTTATTTCTCCCATCTGAATATGGGAAAGACTACTATTATTACTATCAGTGGTGCATCGAAAATGATCGAAACTTCAGGAAAAGCTACTATATTTCTCCCTAAAGGGACAAAAATGGCAATTGAAAATGCCCTGTTCTCGAGCAAAGCTCGAAGGAATTTACTGAGCTTCAGTGATATTCGAAAAAATGGGTATCACATTGAAACATTAAATAAGGTAGAAAATGAGTATCTTCTGACTACTCAGATTGTGAATGGCAAAACAATTGTGAAAAAAAAATTGTCATCATTTTCTTCCGGCTTGTATTACTCAAAAGTCAGTGCCGTTGAAACATATTACCTAGTAGACGAAATGGCTACTAGCGAATTTAAAACTTGGCAAGATCGACTTGGGCATCCTGGCAATGTAATGCTGAGACGAATTGTTGAAAATTCAAATGGCCACCCATTGAAAAAGAAATATATTTTGAGTCCGAATGAATTTTCTTGTGCTGCCTGTTGCCAAGGGAAGTTAATAATTCGGTCATCTCCAACAAAGGTTGGTTTTGAATCCCCAGCTTTTCTGGAAAGAACTCAGGGTAATATTTGTGGACCAATAGATCCACCGTGTGGACCCTTTAAGTACTTTATAGTACTTATCGACGCATCAACGCGATGGTCACACGTATGCCTGTTATCTACTTGCAATCTAGCTTTCGCTAGACTACTTGCACAAATAATTAAATTGTGAGTACAATTTTCAGATCACCCAATAAAGAATATATGTTTAGATAATGCTGAAGAATATTTATCACATACATTTGATGATTACTGCATGTCAATTGGGATTACTGTGGAACATCATGTTCCTCATGTACATACGCAAAATGGCCTCGCTGAATCCCTCGTAAAAAAATTACAATTAATTGCTAGACCATTTTTAATGAGGTCTAAACTTCCCGTATCATGTTGGGGACATGCTATATTGCATGCAACAACCCTCGTGAAAATAAGGCCGACAAGTTATCACTTTTATTCCCATACTCAATTGGTTTCTGGAAAGTTTCCAAATATATCTCACTTGCGAATTTTTAGATGTGCCGTTTATGTGCCTATTGCGCCACCTCAATGCACGAAAATGAGACCTCAAATAAGGTTGGGTATATATGTCGGGTATAAATTACCCTCGATTGTAAAATATCTTGAACCAACAACAGGTGATTTATTTATTGCAAGGTTGCAGACTGCCACTTTGATGAATCTCATTTCTCGACATTAGGGGGGAGAAAATAATCAACTGAAAAAAGAAATTTCGTGGAAAATACCACTTGAATTTGATCCTCGTACGAAATATAGTGAACTTGAAGTTCAAAGAATTGTGCATTTGCAGAAAACTGTAAATCAATTGCCTGATGCTTTTAATGATGTTGCCAGAGTTATGAAATCATATATTGCAGCAACAAATGCACCAGCTAAAATAAATATCCCAGAAGCGAAGGTGCCGAGTGCTAATGAGCATACTCCCCGCATAAAACATATTAGACCGTTGGGTTCCAAGGATAAGAATCCATGAAAGAAGAAAATTGTAAATACTAGTGAAGAGATCAATAATGGTCAGATACCTGAAAAGGTCAGTACAACCCTAAAAGATATTGATACTAAAAATTCTGATGAAAGTGATAATGAAGTTATTGAAACTTCCGTTAACTATACCACCAGTGGAAAATATTGGAACATAAAGAAACAAATATTGATAATGCATTTGCATATTCTGTAGCACTCGATATAATGAATGATGGCGAGGATTATGAATCAAAATCAGTTGATGAATGTCGGCAAAGAGATGATTAGGCAAAATGGAAAGACGCAATTAAGTCTGAATTGGATTCATTGAATAAACGACAAGTATTCTGCCTTATAGTCCAAACACCTGTAAATGTAAAACTTGTTGGCTACAAGTGGGTGTTCGTGAGAAAAAGGAACGAAAATAATGATATCACAAGATATAAAGCAAGGCTTGTAGCCTAGGGTTTTTCCTAGAGACCGGGCATTGACTTCGAAGAAACATATTCGTCAGTCATGGATGGAATAATATTCAGGTATTTGGTGAGCCTGACAGTACACAATAATCTTGATATGCGATTAATAGATGTGGTTATTGTCTATCTTTATGGCTCCTTAGACAATGATGTCTACATGAAAATTCCCGAAGGGATTAACATACCTGAATCATTCAAATCAAAGCCAAAAGAATCATATTCCATCAAATTGAAAAAATCTTTATATAGACTTAAGCAATCAGGCCGAATATGGTACAATTGTTTCAGCAAAAGCCTAACAAAAGAAGGTTACATAAATGACCCTATATGTCCATTAGTTTTCATAAAGAAAAATGGGTCAAAATTTGTAATCATCGCTGTATATGTTGATGATCTCAATTTAATTGGAACTCTTGATGAAATCAAGAAAGCTGTTTAATATCTGAAAAAAGAGTTTGAGATCAAAGATTTTGGAAAAAATAAATTTTACCTTTGTTTGCAAATTGAACATTTGAAAAGTGGAATCTTTATCCATCAATCAAACTATATCAAAAGGGTACTGAAACAATTCCTGATGGATAAATCACATTCGCTAAGTACCCCAATGATTGTCAGAGCACTCGATCCAGCAAAGGATCCATTTAGACCAAAAGAGGAAAATGAAGAAACACTTGGCCTAGAAGTGCCATATATGAGTGCTATAGGTGCATTGATGTATCTTGCTAACAGCACCCGACCCGACACATTATTTGCTGTAAATTTATTGGCAAGATTTAGTTCATCGCCTACTCGACGACATTGGAATGAGATTAAGCACATTTTTCTCTATCTCAAGGAACAATTGATCTCGGGTTATTTTACTCAAAAGATTCTCGACATGAACTAATTGGTTTTGCCGATGCAGGATATTTATCTGATCCTCATAAAGCCAAGTCACAAACTGACTACATTTTTACTTGTGGCGAAACTGTGATCTCTTGGAGATCGATGAAACAAACATTAACTGCCACTTCTTCAAATCATGATGAAATATTGGCAATACATGAAGCTAGTCGAGAATGTGTTTGGTTGAGATCAATAATTCAACATATTCTGAAAAATTGCGGGTTAATACCTGACGATAAAATTTTCCCAACTACCTTGTTTGAAGATAATACGGCTTGTATAGCCCAATTGAAAGGGGGTTACATTAAATGAGATAGAACGAAACACATTTAACCAAAATTCTTTTTTACTCGTAATCTACAACAAAATGGTGAAATTGATATGCAGCAAATTCGATCAGATAATAATTTAGCGGATATATTAACCAAGGCGTTACCAACTGCAATATTTGGAAAATTGGTAAGAAAATTGGAATGCATCGGTTAAAGGATCTCAAATAACGGGCGAGCAAATAAATACAAGAATGTTGTACTCTTTTTCCTTCACTAGAATTTTTTTTTTCCCCACAGGGTTTTTTTCTAATAAGGTTTTAACGAGCCACATTCTTTTTATAAAATATCGAAGGGGGAGTGTTGTACACATATTCATTACATGTACAATATTTGAATGATTTTACACCACGACGTAGCAAATATGTGTTGAAGTGGTGTCATTATTAAAATCACAATCCCATTATATGACTTCCCTATAAATATGACATTGCGAATGAAATTATGTACACTTACATCCAATTACATTCAATCAAGTTTTCCTTTGCATTAATTACACCTCCTGTTGCACACATACAATCAATATCATACATACATACATATATATATTAACACTCATGCATACATATATATATATATATATCATTATAAACACACGACACACACTTATATCTATATACACAATATATATAATATAATACAATACATAAAATAGTAGTTAGCGTTAGAAATAATTAATATTTCTATTGGCTAATCCTATAATAATATCTAAACAATAAGAAAGTGGAAGCAAAATTGACTTTTGTGTTCGCTCTCGTTTTTATTTGATGTGATATTTGATATTCACTGTTGATTGCTCGTATAACATCCACCATCACTCTCCTCTTCATCAATACTTCCATTACACTTCATTTACTCATCAAATAACCTCCTCATTATTGATTATACAATTCCTTAAGTTTTTAAATTTTTTATTTTATTTTAAACATTACAAGTTTTAATGATATGATTTTAGTTTGTTAGTAAAAATAATGTCCAAATAACTTTCTTTTAGGCCAAATTTTTTAATTGAATTTCCAAAATAATTAGAAGAAATACGCACAAATTTAACCAGCAAATATCTTATTTCAAGAATTGTCTTCAAATTCTGAAGTAATTGTAACAAATATGTTATATTTTAAAATTGTATGAATGACACAAGACCACTTGTTATGCTTAGAAGATTTGCATTTCTTTTGAAATGTACGGAACTATATGAATAAGAGAAAAATTTCACGAAAGAGAATGTACTTTTAGTCTGTTTTTTCTTTCTTTCTTTTTTTATAATCTATGATAGTGTGTTTCAAAATAAGTTTGGTTTGAAAAATTTTGGTTTAGTTTTTATATTAATATAATATTTGATGAAATGTTTTATGAAAAAAAATATATTTTTTCGAAAAAGACAAGTCCAAATAGTAAAATTTGAAAATTTTTTAATAAAAATCTATATCTTAGCAGATATATAAAACAACCCACATATTAACTAACATGACTCTTTTAGCTTAATTTAGTAAGACCAAATTAGTTGGTGTAATCCAACTATGGTTTGAATTATGCTCACGCAACAACAGATTTATTACA